TCAGCTCAGTTTAAGTTACAGGTTTGCTCCTCCCTCTCCCCTACACCCTGATTTATAGCTCCTTAATATTTCACAGCTGATTAATCATTTAAACTCCTGCAGCTCTTCTTTTGTTTTGTGTTTCTTTAACAGTCTGATCTTGCTGTATTTGCAGGCTTTCTCAGTCGTAAAGGCAAATTTTTCCAGTGAAAGACAAGATGGATAGGTAATTAGTAGAGGGAATATTTTAATGACAGGGAAGGGAATGGTGGACAAGAGCTAGGCCTGCTTCTGTGTGTGATTAAGTATTTTAGCTGTCTCCTTCTGTGGGGACACTAAAACCTTACCGAGCGTTCGATACCGGCTTGAAAAGCCAGCTGTCCAATTTGCTGTAGCGTGGTCGTGATCACTGAAGTGCCACCGTTGTTTCCAATTGTCTCGCAGACGTTTAAATTGCGCTGAAAGACGACGCGGCCATCTTATTGCCTGGCATGACATCGTCTGGGCCAGTGTGATTTTCCACATAATGAGACGTGCCTCATTGCCAGCAGTTCCACACAGGACTGCCATTAAAAGTGCACAGAGGCCGTAGAGGCTCAGTGAGTCACAGGCTAATTTAAACTTGTGTTTTTTAGGTGATCAGCGTAGGCGGTGCCTCCGTCTTTCACGACACGCAGAGGAATTGATTAACACTTCATGCAGCGGGCGCCCATTCATCTGTTTTTGATGAGCAAGCTTTTCAGTCACACTGTTTATTCTGTTTGATTATATTTGGCCCTGTCAGTGTGCGACGCTCGGGTCATATTATCACCTGCATCTTTCCAGTGAAATGTGGGTTTAATAAAGACGTGCTCTAAGATCCTGAGCAAACAGCAGATATTTACTTAAACGCACTCTCGTGTTGGCTCAGACTCACGCCTCTCAAACAACGTCCAGTTTTTCTTGGCGACTGTATGACCGTCACTTAAGCACCATGTGTTGTGAGTGCATGTAATTGAATTTGCCTGAGTACAATCTGTGCAAATACATCAGGGCTGACACAGCTGCTCTGGTGACTGTTTGGACAGGGATTTATAATTGAATGAACTGCAGGCTCACATTAGTATCACTACCAGAGATCAGTGTTTGCAAAGTGTGCAGAGGAACACTGAGGTTTCATCTCTGAATATGAACCACAGAAGGAAAGATTTTAAATCATGTGATGAATTGCTGAGAGGCTTTTGATTCTCAAATGAAAACTCTTCGGCTTCAGTTCAGTCTCGGGTCAGCCTGCTGTGCTCACTTTCTGTGGAATGTCCTTTTGGACCTTGACCCCTAAATCTCTCTGTCTTCAATCAATTGCTGCATTTAAATTTTAGTTTCTGAAGGGAAGATTGCAGTTGGAGTATTTGAGAGCGTCCCCAGCTGTAGTGCCAGTAGCATTAGGACATGCAGAGTAGGGATGGGTATCGTTTAGGTTTTATCCGATACCAGTACCAAACCGGTACTTTTGAAACGGTGCTCGAACTGGTGCTTAAAGAATGAAGAACACCAACTTTGTCCAAAAACCTCTCATGTTTAACTGTTTCCCACTTTTTCTTTGGTCATTTTAGCCTTTTTGGCCAGGGTGAAGGGAGTATCTGCCATCAAACAAGAAGACAGCCGCATGTAGCTATGATGGTGTTTGCTAGTTCACCTTACATGCATTAATGTAATAACGTGGTTAGCCTACTCAACGTAAATTACACAGGAACAACATGAAGCTACTCACGCAGAGAAGAACGGCTGCTGCTGCATCATCATCCTCATCATTTCTGCTGCACTGGCAGGGCTAGGGGCCAGGACTCTCCTCTTCGTGTTTTTGGGGGATGTTGCTAACTCCGGGTCCAATAACAGGCACCACACCCGCAGTAGTCAAAGGAGCTTGCAAAGAAAAGCATCTGGACTTCTTTAAGTTGCTTGAAGACGTTTCACCTCTCATCCGAGAAGCTTCTTCAGTTCTAAGGTCAAATGGTGGAGAGTCCCAGATATAAACCTAGTGGGAGTTTCCCCCCACAGAGGGACAAAAGGACCCCTGATGATCCTCTAATCGCCTGAGCCAAGGTGTGAAACTGGGTGTGGGTCCCAATCAGCCAGAGTTTCGGGTGTGTTCATTCCTGAGGTCAGATGGCCCAGGATGTGAGTGAGCGTTAAGGCGTCTGGGAAAGGATCTCAAAACTGGATTATAGATGGCAGACAGTTGGTGTCGTAAACCCCGCCTCTGTTCAAAGATGGTCGCTCACAGTGGACATAGAAGCTTCTTTCACTCCTCTTTCAAACCATCTGTCCTCTCTGTCCAAAATGTGAACATTGGCATCCTCGAAAGAGTGACCTTTGACCTTAAGATGCAGATGGACTGCTGAGTCTTGTCCTGTGGAGGTGGCTCTTCTGTGTTGTGCCATACGTTTGTGAAGTGGCTGTTTGGTCTCTCCAATGTAGAGGTCTGAGCATTCCTCGCTGCACTGTACAGCATACACCACATTGTTAAGTCTGTGTTTTGGCGTTTTGTCTTTCGGGTGAACCAGTTTCTGTCTGAGCGTGTTGCTGGGTCTGAAATACACCGGGATGTCGTGCTTGAAGAAAACTCTCCTGAGTTTCTCTGATACACCGGCTACATAGGGGATGACAATGTTGTTGCGTCTGTCTTTCTTATCCTCCCTCGCTGGTGTCTGGTCTTCTTTTCTGTGCCTCTTTGCTGACTTTAAGAACGCCCATTTAGGATAGCCGCACGTTTTGAGTGCTTCCTTTACATGTGTGTGTTCCTTCTTTTTCCCTTCAGGCTTAGAGGGAACATGTTCTGCCCGGTGGTGTAGGGTCCTAATTACTCCATGTTTGTGTTCCAGAGGGTGATGGGAGTCAAAGAGGAGGTACTGGTCCGTGTGTGTGGGCTTCCAGTAAACTTCGATGTTGAGGTTGCCGTTCTCTTCGATGTGCACCGCGCAGTCCAGGAAAGGCAAACTCTGTGGGGGGAAACTCCCACTGGGTTTATATCTGGGACTCTCCACCATTTGACCTTAGAACTGAAGAAGCTTCTCGGATGAGAGGTGAAACGTCTTCAAGCAACTTAAAGAAGTCCAGACGCTTTTCTTTGCAAGCTCCTTTGACTACGATGACCTGGATGACTGAGAACCTTCACAGACATACACATCCGCAGTAGATGTGCTCGGTGTGAGGTCTCGCAGCAAGCTATCAAATACGGCGCATTTCTGGGCTTTTAACAAAACGCTATGCATCGCCAGGTGTTTCATCGGATTTGAGGTGTTACCTCCTTTGACAGTATCACAGTATCAGCTTAAAGCACTTGTTGCTGCTGAGTTTGCATCTTTTGCTGTGAAGTACAGCCAGACTTTTGACCGCTTCGCCTTGGGCGTTTTTAATCTGTAGCTCTGCTCTAAAAGAACGCACGTACCTGGGCCCGCCTACTATCCTTGGAAAGGCAAAATGATTGGCTAGAATCTAAAGTGTATGACATCTCAGGAAAAAAGCACCGAAATGTGCGCTGCTTTTCGGTCTGGTTACTGCCGTTTATGTATGATGGCACCGGATACCGGTACCCATCCCTATTGCAGAGGGTGTCACAGCACGAGTACCAGAGTTCTCAAAAGGACATAAAAAGGAAAGTGTGTTTGGATTATTATGTCTTTGTTAGATTTATGGGTGGAAAAATCTGTATTTTTATGTCATTTTTAGAACATAAGAAAGCTCTCAGAGGTCAGACACTAGACCCGTACACTGTGTAAAGATGCATATATCTGCTGTGACATCTCCCCATTTAAAACCTCATGTGTAGGATTTTTGCAAACGTTTCATTCTCAGGCTCCTACGACGCTCCATAGCCAGTTTAACACATCCTCCACTCTGCCTCTGTCCTTGGTGCTGATTCACTCACACAGGAACTTCCCTTTCAGAGGTTTAGGCCAGTTGGTTGTTACACGATCCCAGCCAAGCCGCTGCTCTTTCAGGGTTGCTGATATTATGAAAATGAGGATCATGAGAGAGGTTTTTAAAGCTGTTTAATATGAACAGTTTTTGTTTGATGCACTATTATAGAAATACAGCTATTGGAATTATTACGTTTATAATATATTTTTCATGACAGCCTTTTATGAATATCAATTCTTAGCATCCATGTTATTAGTGTTGCCCCTACTTTTTCAGGTTCATGTGTGGATTAGTATTCACACTGCGTTAGAGCCATGATAGGAAAACCTTCAAATAAGACTAGAAATGTTCCTTTGTGTCTTCTTGCTGCTGTTTTGCTTCCTGCTTGCTGTCCCTGTAGGGCTTTTAAAAACCTCCATACCATCTCCATGTCGTGTCAGCTGTGATCACCCTGCACTGACATCAGTGGAAGAGTAACCTCTGCTTTGCGTTCACATTCTCATCATCAATCCCTCATTCCTTCCCTGAAGGCACGCAGCAGCGTTAGTAGCTCTCATTATGCGCAGACATGACATGAAACCAATTCAAGGTCATGGAAGCAGCGACACATATCTCCTATCCCCAGGGTGTACGTATGTGTGTCAGGAGACGGTTATCAGTCATATAGCACAGCAGTCTACTGTTTCAAAGTGCTATTGTTTTCACTGCTTGTTATTAGATGGCCTGAACTGACGCAAATGGAAAGTAAAGAGCAAATGAAAGACATACAGGGAGCTTGAATACGTGAGACAAAGAGGGAGAGCTGCAGTGCTGGGGTTGTGCAATGTGGGCCTTAATAAGGTAGCATCTGTCTGGCCTGACTGTTGAGTTAAAGCTAAACTGTGTGTGTGTGTGTGTGTGTGTGTGTGTGTGTGTGTGTGTGTGTGTGTGTGTGTGTGTGTGTGTGTGTGTGTGTGTGTGTTCCCATACATCTGTTGGGTACCAGTCTGTCACAACATGTTCACTGTTTGTTAGTTGTAATAAAAAAATCACACATTCTCTGCAGTCTTTCCATCTGTTGTCACGGTCTGGGGGGCAGACCGTGGGGGATGTTGGAGAAAGGACCCAAACGCTGGACTTAATGAAATGAACAGTGGGTTTATTTACAGTGAGGTAAATGTACACCACACATTGAATCTCCAAAAGTGCTCCCTCGACTCCCGTGACATGTCTTCTCCCAAGTGCTGGTATCCCGTGCTCTCTGCCCCTGTGCCTTCACACACCCCGTGTGTCTTGCAGTCCTGTGTTCCACTCTCCTGAGGAAAAAACACAGACACAGCCGTTATGGCACCAACTCCAGCAGGCATACACTGACCAGCACTACAAACACTGACATGGAGTCTAACTCAACGATCCTGCGCCGGAGGAAGCTCCATCGCTCTGTTAAGTAGCTCCCCCGACGATCCTGATCAGAAGCAGGTGTGTGGTAAGCAGAGATGGGCAGTAACGCGTTACAAGTAACGCGTTACTGTAATCTGATTACTTTTTTCAAGTAACGAGTAAAGTAAGGGATTACTATTGCAAAATCGGTAATTAGATTACCGTTACTTTCCCGTAGGAACGCTGCGTTACTGCGTTACTAAAACCGTGATTTTTTTTGCGAGAATGTCTCACGACAGTGACGTAAGCGAGTGCGACGTTGGTGACAACAGCTGTGTGCAGATCAACAATGGATCATATATCGAGTGCGGGAGAGAGTATGAGCGTGCAGCGTTTAAAGCGTGGAAGTACTGACCTTACTTTGAGTTTGATTCCATAAAAAGTGACAAAAACATTAGCGTCCATCGTGCGTGGGAAGAAAACTTCTTTTTACAGCGAAAAAACCCCTAAACTTCCGAGCAAGCACCGAGTAGCTACGACGTGATGGGAAACTCACAGAGACACTCGCGCGGATTCTTCAACTGACCGCAGCACACCTACACCAGGGTAACCCTCCGCCTACCCTGCTCCTGCTTTACAGGTGAAAATAGAGCAAAAGGACCGCTGAGTCTTTGACTTTATTTATTTTCTGCTGTGTTTTACTTGCATCTGTTTGAAAGACTGAGTGTAAACACAAAAAATATTTTATTTTATGTGCTGGAATGTGCAGAAAATAGGTTTAAATGTTAAACTAATTTCTTCCAGTCAGAGAATGTTGCAGATAATTAAATGTTTTGCTTGATGCATAAAGTTAAAAGATTAAAACTAATAAAACAAGTTTTAAAAAGAGGCTTTTCCATCTGATTACATTTTGTATGATGGATTATGCAGAAAAAGTAGAATTGGGCTGAAAGATCTATCACTTTATCACCTCTTCAGGTTGTAAATCGTGTTTTTAAAAAGTAACTAAGTAACTAAGTAACTAAGTAATTAATTACTTTTGAAAATAAGTAATCAGTAAAGTAACGGGATTACTTTTTGGGGGGAGTAATCAGTAATTAATTACTGATTACTTTTTTCAAGTAACTTGACCAACACTGGTGGTAAGCTAGGCGTGACCAGCAGCTGGCAGGGCCACACCCATCAGGCCTGCAGGTGGCTGTCCTTCATCCTCCAGCCTCACACACATACACACACCAGCATGGAACACAAGAACACAGTGCAGCAAACATACATCCAATACACTAATAACAATAAAGGTCCACACTGTTCACGAACCCCGAGTCCCCGGAACCGGGTCCGTGACATCTGTTGGCCCTTTCCAGCGATCAGACAGGTGCTAGTAAATTTGAGCTAATTGCCTCTGTGTGTGTGTGTGTGTGTGTGTGTGTGTGTGTGTGTGTGTGTGTGTGTGTGTGTGTGTGTGTGTGTGTCTGTGCAAGGAAAGGACAGGATGGCAGCACCAAAGGGACAACTTGTCACAGATCATTTTAATGCTGTGAGGAGAAAGTTAATCATTTAAGAGAAACAAAACTCTCCGTTTCCATATTGGGTCACAGTTGGAATTCAGCTGCTCTGTAAACTCATTAATCTCCTGAGTTTATGTAATATTTTAATGTATGTGATGCAGCACAGGAACAGCTGAGAAGACCAGCTGCACGTGAAAGTAGCCAAACTGTGACGCAGTCATCAGCTGGACAAAACTTCCATTCATGATTCCATTGGAATTTTTTTGGCAGACAGCAAGTAGCTGTGTCAACAAAATGGGCAACTACTTTTGATCTCAAGGTGACTGCACAGGTTGCATTGTGGGAGGCAACCTGTCTCCAACCACTCATGGTCTGTCTCAGGCAAACTGCACTCACCGTTTGGTGAAGGTTTGCAAATAATTGTCCTCTACGTTATGAATACAGCCTGTCAGAGCATTGCAATCAGTGTGAGTCAGTCTGAGCTGGTGAGTGCAAGTGTGATACATCTTTTTGCAATGGTGGATTTGACTCAGGTGGGAACCAATTGGTTGTATTCTTGGTTTATCCCAAGTAATCACCATATTATTATCAGATGGCATGTTATTGCCATTTTGCCCATGTCTTGGTGCACCAAAGTCACGCTGAATATGCCAAGTGTAGCTGATGACAGTGAGATTGTCAGTTCAGTGCACACAGTAATTGTAGTTGTGCTGCAGTCTCCAGCCACTGTTTGCCCTAATGCGACTGTAACAATATGCAGTTTTTATCCTTTGGTGGCCACTAAATATTAAAGTTTAACATTTATGTTATGCATCACAATAACTCTTTGAAAGAGCCCGAAGGTCATTATAGAAGAATAAATAAGTAAAAAGCTTTTTTTAACCTTACTTTTGAGGCAAAATGTCCAAACAAGCCCAGAGATGAGACTTGCTTTGAGGCATCATCTGTCTGTGTAAGAGAAAATCCAGGCGTTGTCATAAATGTCCTGATGCAAAATGCTTTAAACTTCAAAGGTGGGCAAAACCAGACGGACTTCACATGAAACTCTAAACAGCAGCATGTACTTTTAGTCCAGAGCGTACTTGCTTTGCACCGCTGTTGCCACAGCTCCTCATCTGACTCTCTGTTAAAGCGAAAGTTGCTAAGCAACATGTGCTGTGTGGATCAGGCCGTTCAGCCGCAAAGTTTGGGATATAAGAAACAATATTAAGTTTCAAAGAGGAAAATATACACCTTAAAGTTTCCAGGCATTGTCGCATCATCCATCTCAGATCTCTCAGCTGCTGTCTGTCTCTGCCTACCTCGTGACTTCATCTCCTCCTACATCATAATATCACCTCATCATCAGTTCCCCTCCTCTGCTTCTCCTTCACCCTCCGTCTCTGTCCCAGAGGGGGTTGTGTCAGAGTGAGACAGATAAGCAGGTAGAGACTAGCAAACATGTAACTGCAGCTTGTGTTATTTAAGGTTTGTGAGTTTGCTTTCATGTGCCATGTGCAACAAGGTCCGTGGCAGCGTGGTACCGATTATATGATGCTGATGGCTCAGATGCATCCCTGGCTGAGGACCTTGCTAATGGACCTCAGCTCCACTGAGCCTCTAAGCTGTCCCCATGAATTCACCCCAGTAACAGGACACCCGTCAGGGGCTTGTGCCTGCGCATCATTCCATCACCCAAGGGCAGGCGGTGATGGTGGGCCTCTGGCAGTATGCTTGGCAGCTTGGCAAATGGCAGCTTGGCACATGATCAAAGTGCTCAGAGGGTGACTCAGGGGATAGAGAGAAAAGTGCTGAAGGTCAAAGGTAAACAGCTGGCTCAGAACAGCTGACTGTGGTGTGGGGGCAACTGGGCAAGAAAGAGCAAAAACAAGAGCACTGCTGGTCACATGTTTGATTATTTCAAGCTAAGTTCTGTTCTGCTACAAACTGACGCCAAACATCATTTGTTTACATTTTTAAAATAATGTCAGCAAGAAGTGACTTTGACCTCTGCCAGAATCCCAGGATGCTTTGCTCTCAGTACCTGTCAGATATGTCAGTGCCTGAGGCTGTCTCATATACCAGCACTGAGATATTTAAAAGTCATGTTAATAATATAAAGTAACTCCTTCCTTTGCCTAATTTTTTACATCTATGCTTATTATTAATTACTCTGTGTGTTTCTTTAGTACTTTAGCCAGAATGATCATGTGACACTTTTGTGTTATCTGCTTTAAAAAACTGGAAATACAAAACAGTAGTTGGGCAGTGTTTGCATTAGTAATGATATAAATATAATATATAAATATTGTAGCACCCTCAGAGCTGTTCCTGGCAAAGATCTTAGGAACACTTGGCTTTCTTACTTAGTGTTGTGGCTCTAATTACAGCAAAGACGGCCTCGCAGATTTGAATGGAACAGAATTCAAATGTCTGAAGCAGATGGTCAGGCAGGAGGTGGCAAAGTTCACCACCTTGCAGATGCAGCTGCGCTGAGTTACTTGGATGTAGCCCTTCAGGCTTTAAAAATCAGAATAGTGCTGTCCTTGGGAAATTCACCAGCCTCTGATGAATGAATGGCTGCGACTTTGCACACTGTGGTCGGCAAAATGACTCTTACCGCTTCCTCGTGGTAGCAGATGTGTCTTTGCAGCAGTTGGCAAATGTTGGCGACACGTGTCCGGGGGTGTTGTCGTGGAAACGGCGTCAGCCTCAAATACAGAAGCGACTCTAAAATCCCACGAAGCCGTAACAAGCCACACACATGGTTGCATTCACGAGCGTGTACACACAAGCACGCATGCTGGCAGGCTCTGGCCAGCTCGCTGCTGTGATCCAGGCTCAGAGCTTCCACCTGTCATAGTCAGTAGCTGAACATTATTGGCATTAGCTACCCTCCCTGCTTTCCCCTTGACATCACAAACTGCCAAAAATTGTATTTTCCATTGTTACCAGAGAAGCTGCTTTTAAAGCTCATTTCAAACACCGGGAAACTGAATCTGGTATTCTCTTTAAACCTGTTTGAATCACGCTGTGGTCCTGAAGCTGAGGAAATACCTCCACGCCATCATCACTGTGTGCTGCAGCGTAACAAAATGTCCAAATTAGAACCTCCTTCAGACGTGAGGGTTTAGCTGGGAACTAAAAATATCCCCAAAACAATATCAAGCGCTAATAAAACATAGTGGACATAAAATGAAAGGAAGCCTTTAGTTCTTGAAGCAGAGTGAGAAATCGCTTCTCTGAGTAAAAATCCACTTTATAGATTTAGTACCTCCACACTTTGTCCAGTGCTAATGAATTCCCTGAAAGATGATTTAGACTGTGTGAGTTCAAAATACTCTATCAAGGCCAAAGAAACTCATGAAAACCCTCATTCCTATATCTGATTGTGAGAACAAAATATACTTCAGGCTCCGGGTGGTATCAAACATTCCTTGATCTCCTGATGTAATTGAACCGAAGGCTCTTCAGGGGTGGCTGTAGCTCAGGCGGTAGAGCAGGTCATCTACTGATCGGAAGGTTGGTGGTTTGATTCCTGGCTTCCTCCAGTCTGCATGCCAAATATCCTTGGGCAAGATATTAACCCCAAATTGCTCTCTGATGCATCCATCGGAGTGTGAGTGTGTGTGAATGTTGCTTAGAAAGCACTTAGAACAATGTGCTTGTGCGAATGGGTGAATGCACAAGTTGTGTAAAGCGCTTTGAGTGCTCAGAAGAGTAGAAAAGCGCTGCATAAGAACCATTCATCCAAATAGAATAAGGCTTGAATAATGACTGTGTGTGCGAGCAGACACCTGCATGGTAATACAGTCACACACTTCATATAATATGTGGCGTTCTGGGGTATTTCTTGAGTGTTTTTAATAGCATATTGTACACCACTCACACGCTCAACTGCACACTCGCACACTCGCTCCCCATCGGCTAAAGCCCCGCCTTCACATCACGGCTCTTAGTCGTTCATTCATCCTCCTCACTTGGTCTCATTTTCTTCCCCTAACCTTGCGCTCCCCGGCTGTCTTCTTTCTGTCTCCATCATTACACTCCTCCCTAGCTGCAGAGTGATGATGGCATACTTGGTTGCTGTGATCTCCCCCTCCTCTCCACCAGTAGAAGATGCAGAGGAAAAACAATGATGTGAAGCGGATCTGCTAAGTATTTCAGCTTCGTCCCATTTCAACATTTTACTCGTGTAAAAATATTAAACTACTTCATTTATTCATGTGCAGCAGCTTGAAATTCTTCTCATCTGATACCATGGAGATGCTTGTTCAGCAAATCAGGAAGCAAGGTGTCTGTGCGATCCACACACCCATCTCAGCACACATCATTTCTTCCATCTCATTTCTTTCAGCCATCCATGTCTGCAAATGTCAATAAATACGCAGTTGTGGTGTTATTGTCAGCTTGGAGCTGCAGCAGGGAAGCTATGAAGAACAGAGATCGCCAAAGCTGTTTGCAGTGTTGATATGTTCCACACCATCAACACGGTAGTTGTACTTCCCAATGAGATAGAGACTATTATTGTCCATGAACGCTTACTTCATCCTCAGAGATGAAGAAAATGGAAGCAGGAACAGAAGAGAAAACTGGGACATATCTACAGTGGGGCAAAAAAGTATTTAGTCAGCCACCGATTGTGCAAGTTCCCCCACCTAAAATGATGACAGAGGTCAGTAATTTGCACCAGAGGTACACTTCAACTGTGAGAGACAGAATGTGAAAAAAAAAATCCATGAATCCACATGGTAGGATTTGTAAAGAATTTATTGGTAAATCAGGGTGGAAAATAAGTATTTGGTCAATAACAAAAATACAACTCAATACTTTGTAACATAACCTTTGTTGGCAATAACAGAGGTCAAACGTTTACTATAGGTCTTTACCAGGTTTGCACACACAGTAGCTGGTATTTTGGCCCATTCCTCCATGCAGATCTTCTCGAGAGCAGTGATGTTTTGGGGCTGTCGCCGAGCAACACGGACTTTCAACTCCCGCCACAGATTTTCTATGGGGTTGAGGTCTGGAGACTGGCTAGGCCACTCCAGGACTTTCAAATGCTTCTTACGGAGCCACTCCTTTGTTGCCCGGGCGGTGTGTTTTGGATCATTGTCATGTTGGAAGACCCAGCCTCGTTTCATCTTCAAAGTTCTCACTGATGGAAGGAGGTTTTGGCTCAAAATCTCACGATACATGGCCCCATTCATTCTGTCCTTAACACGGATCAGTCGTCCTGTCCCCTTGGCAGAAAAACAGCCCCATAGCATGATGTTTCCACCCCCATGCTTCACAGTAGGTATGGTGTTCTTGGGATGCAACTCAGTATTCTTCTTCCTCCAAACACGACGAGTTGAGTTTATACCAAAAAGTTCTACTTTGGTTTCATCTGACCACATGACATTCTCCCAATCCTCTGCTGTATCATCCATGTGCTCTCTGGCAAACTTCAGACGGGCCTGGACATGCACTGGCTTCAGCAGCGGAACACGTCTGGCACTGCGGGATTTGATTCCCTGCCGTTGTAGTGTGTTACTGATGGTGACCTTTGTTACTTTGGTCCCAGCTCTCTGCAGGTCATTCACCAGGTCCCCCCGTGTGGTTCTGGGATCTTTGCTCACCGTTCTCATGATCATTTTGACCCCACGGGATGAGATCTTGCGTGGAGCCCCAGATCGAGGGAGATTATCAGTGGTCTTGTATGTCTTCCATTTTCTGATGATTGCTCCCACAGTTGATTTTTTCACACCAAGCTGCTTGCCTATTGTAGATTCACTCTTCCCAGTCTGGTGCAGGTCTACAATACTTTTCCTGGTGTCCTTCGAAAGCTCTTTGGTCTTGGCCATGGCGGAGTTTGGAGTCTGACTGTTTGAGGCTGTGGACAGGTGTCTTTTATACAGATGATGAGTTCAAACAGGTGCCATTCATACAGGTAACGAGTGGGGGACAGAAAAGCTTCTTACAGAAGACGTTACAGGTCTGTGAGAGCCAGAGATTTTCCATGTTTGAGGTGACCAAATACTTATTTTCCACCCTGATTTACCAATAAATTCTTTACAAATCCTACCATGTGGATTCATGGATTTTTTTTTCACATTCTGTCTCTCACAGTTGAAGTGTACCTCTGGTGCAAATTACTGACCTCTGTCATCATTTTAGGTGGGGGAACTTGCACAATCGGTGGCTGACTAAATACTTTTTTGCCCCACTGTAGGTTGTTTTTGTTTTCATGCACATGATCAGCT